TGAACAGCGTCTTTTCAAATATTTATAAAGATGTTTTAGTACCTATCACTGAAAGCTGCATTAATGTTTTAATTTAAGCAGAGAAAAGCACAACTTAATCCTGTCAGAAACAACTGTGGTAGTATATATACATAGTAGCAATCTCAAGTTATGTTATATTATGTTTTAATTTATTCGTGTTCGTTAAAAATAGGGGAGAAATATATCTGATTCTGCATTGTAGGAATCAAACTACAAAAAATGAACTAAAGCTAAAAGAGTAGAAAAATTTATGTTTAAGTACTTTTCAGGGCAGTGAACTACTAGGAATTCAGGAATTTCAAGATGATTAAAATAGCTGAATATATGCAGAAAATAATCACAGATCTTCCACAAAGGCTTAACATCTTCTGAGAAGTGTCAGATAAGACACATCAGAGCAGAACAAGGTCTAAACCCAATCATGCACACGCAGACAAATCCCAAAGAAAGTCTCTCTCTCTCTTTATGACAGACCAATTTTCAAACTGCCTTTTGAGCTCCAAAGCCCTACAGGTTTGATGAGTTTTGTTTGTACCACCAGAGCTCACCACAGCCAGTGGAAAGGACACCAAAAGTCCATGGGATCTCCAGCCTGGGGGAGCAGGAGCTGCTCACCAGCCTTGGGGAGCTCACACACGGCCTTTATTGCACAGGGACTCAGCTTCTGCTCTACAAAGAGCCCTGGTACAGTCTTACTACATAAAAGAAGTTCCAGTGACTGTCAAGCTCTAATTGGAGTATTGTGACTCCTGAAATAAAGACAGATATGCAGCATTGCTAGTCCAACAAATCTGATCACTGGAGAATGCACTGGACACGTTTAAACTGCCTGGTTCTACTCCCCAGTGCACTCCTCCTGCTCTGAAAAGCAGCAGATAAGACAAGACTTTTTAAATTGAACGTTTACAGGTGTACACAGAAGTTCAGGATATGCACATACTCCACTTTTGTGTCAGGCAGGAGAAAAGAGATGTCCAGAATTACAGACTTACCTGGAGAAGGACAACCTTAACCTTACACATAAACCAAACCACTCATCTCATCTCATCTCGTTTTATTCTTCCTGAAGCTCATCCCTCCTGATGTATTATTATAAGACATGGCAGACCACCTCCCAGTATGTGGAAGTATTACTTGTACATTCCTTTCTTTCCCTTTTAAAAATAAAATTTTCCTTTTTTTAAAAAAAAAAATAATTCTTTATGGACCTCTATCACCTCAAAGTAACAGCATAACTAGAGCTGCCATACTTACATTTCTGTAATCACTTCTTGATTTGCCAAGAAGTTAATCTCACATTTCACTGTGTGTGCAGCATTTCTGTTGGGCAGCTCTGAGGATACCTGGCCACATTGAATTTGTGGGGGAAAGGCAGTGTGTGATGTCCACAGCACAGCGTGGGGGCTGAGCTGGAAGGCAGAAAGCTCCCCCTGATGCTCCCTGCTGCAGTTTTGCTGCCACTGCTCTCACACCCAGCAACTTTGTGCTCTCCAGAGCTTCATTCCTGCTTTTCTGTTAGACCAGGGCTCCACCTCATGGGATACCCCAAAGCTCAGAGTCCTCAACAGAATTAAACCTGTGTCTAACATTGGCTGCTTCTCCTGGGACATCCACAAGTCCATCGTGGCTGCTGCCCTGCTTTGGGTGTTGGTGTGGCACAGAGCCACTCACACACACACAGGGCACAGATCTAAACATTACCAGCTGGAACCCATTCCCCGAGGCTCAAGTGCAATCCTTGCCAACCCCTTCAGCTGCTGAGATGCTTGGACACTCACCTGTTGAGCAGGTCATCTCTTCAGCAAGTGTTCTCATGAATCTGCTCAGGCTTATTCTGTCACTAACAAATATCAAACACTGACTCGTGGCACAGAATGCTGCCAGTGCATTACCACGTTACAGTGAGAAACTGTTGGAATACACAGCTTGTTTCCTGAAATCTTCCTAGGTGCCAACTCTTGTAACGTTCAAAATTGTTTATTTAAGAAATATTTTAAGAAAAAGTCAGTGGCCAGCTTCTATAATCTTTTTTTTTTTTCTCTCCAGCATGAACTGATACTTTAAAAGAGCTTTAGCAGTAATCCTAAATTAATATTTCATTTGAGTTTCCATGGTAGTTTCAGCCCTTCCTTTCTATTCACCTGTGAAAATTATTTTTCACTCAGAGTAACTACAGATGAGTTCTGATACTATACACATTGTGTATATCTACATATTGTGGTATTTTAAAGCTATTTTTTTTTACCAAAAATGGATCATTAGTAGGCCGAGTAGCAGCAGTGGAGGTCAGCAATATCATTATCTTCATTCCAGGGAAAACTCATTGAACATCCTTTGAGGCCAGCAGACAGTTCCCTCTATACAAGTTTGACTTTGAACATCACAGTCAGAGGTCATGAGAGGCACAACACGTACCAAGTGATGTGCAGCTGGCACAGGGAAGCAAAAGGATTCCTTGTGCTTTTTCCTTCCTTTTTGTCACCTTAAAATATGGGCACTGAATGAGAAACCCTTTCTTCCATGAGGTCTGTATTTCACATGTGGGGATGGTAAGCACGATGAATTAGTGACCTAGGATGACAAATTATCCTTCCCTCCATCAGCCATCCTTCTGTCCAGCTAAGACTTGAAAAATTCCAAATGCCTCAGTACTTTTGCAGAGATGCCCGGGGTTGGACAGACAAGATTCATTGTTGGTCTGCTTGTTCCACATGAAAAATATCTTCACTTATAAGGCTGACAACCCTGAGGACCTTTTATCATCACTGACATTGCTTCCCTATATCATCTTCTCATCCTCCAAAAAGGGGATGCATGAGAAGATACTTGTTTCTATCCTGATACATTAGGCACTTTCACAGATTTTCTGAAATGTTTACACAAATTCAGTTAATATCTGTGGCTGCACTGATTCTGATAAAAATAAGACATTTGCAGCTACATTTGGAGATTCTCAGCAATCTCACTGCTAGGAAATAGACTGAAGTAGGAATTTTAAAGGTACTCTACTACAGAGCTTTGCTTCTGCAAACATCAAACAGCATGACTGACTTAGAAATAAGAATCAATTAGAATATGCACATCAAAATACATATTCTCAAAATAAATATTCTCAGATCTGTTTCCTAGTGTGTTTATCAACAGGAGTGCATTGATGCTGGCAATCTCAATTGTGTGGAGTGACTAATCAGAGTACCAGGAGCATCACCCATCTCAATTTGTCATTTAGAATTTTGATGTCATCATTCAGAGTTTATGCAAACTCTTGTATAGACCAAGAGGCCCAATCACAAGGCAGAGACTCCACTGCACTATTATGTAAATAAACTAGAATACATTCTGTGGGGAAATAAAAAAATCCATTAGACAGAACTATAAAATTTTCAACAAATCCTTTGTTTTTCATGTTTTGCATAGAGATTCTTCATTCAGCAAAGAATTTTTGAACCCAGTTTGTGATGGAGCATATCTTGCCCCCTTCAAACTTAGATTTATTTTTTGTTGTCTTATGAATGAAAAGGTGGGTATTCCTTGGCCTAAGAGCACAAAGTCAATGAAAAGTTCCATTTCCATAAATAATTTTAACACCTCATATTGGTGGAACCCACAGACAGCTTCTCATTGCTAAGGAAAATCACTAGTACTGTGGGAGAAAAATTTCACACCCATGAATTCTGTGGAATAGTACAGAACTGGAATTTCACCTGAATGTTCACTGAACACAGGAAAGCAACCAGGAAAAGCCTTACAGCTACACTCTGAAGAGACAGATACTTCTATCTGTGATGCAACCAATATTTTTTTTTTTTTTACTTCTAAGCTTGTGTCAACTTAAAAACCACATTGAATCTGTGCCCTTAACAACAGCAAAAAGGCTGTGGGAATGTAAAAAAGTTAAACATTTTTCTTGTCCCTTGTAAAATTTTATAGGATTTCCTGCAAAAACCATTTCACTGAACTTATGGGGATGCACATCTAAGTAATTGATCAGGTTCTCAATCTTTCAGCCTCCAGCTCCTTGTGTGTGTTCTGCCCACCCACAGAACCTGGGGGTCCTGGGGCTGCTGAAGGATTGTGGAATCAGTTCCTGTGGAGAGCCTTGGTAAAGTAAAACAAACAAACAAACAAACAAAAACCCATTGTAGATTATTGCACCTATGTGCAATTTAAAGATTATTGAGTGTGGCAGTGGTAGGGCTCAGCATCTCCATCAAAATTCTGCCTACGTACTTGTGACCTCATTGTGATCTAATATCAAATATTTAATAGCTCTCCTTACATAGACTGTGCACTTATAAGGAAATAAATTTATTATTTATAAAGTAATAAACTCTCTAGCAATTGTAAAGTAAATAAAATGCCTCAGTGAAGGGAAAGTGAGACATCACAATAAATAAAATTCCTCAGGCCTGTGCAAGAGTTCATGTTTTAAAACTTGTGTTACTTCTATATCCACCAGATAAAATTTAGATGTACCTGAATTTTGAAGATAAGATACTCTCTGCCAGAAAATGAATGGTAAAGTTTCTGAAATGTCCAGCTACTTATGCTTTATAACAACTGTAATTGTGGAAAAAAAAAGAAATAAAAAAAGAAATAAAAGAAGCTGGCCTATTCCATCTCTGATGGTGTCAGCAGAACAAAGGCAGAACCTGTGGAATCATAACTGTGTGGTATGAAACTATTTAATACAGTATTTTTATAGAAAAAATAATAGCTTTAAAATTCTATTGACATTAATATACAGCTATACACCTAAGTCATCCAAACACGTGCAGAGCTGCAAAAACATTCAAATAGAATTTGTATAAAAAGCAAAAATTTTCATTAAGAAAAGGGATTTAGCCATTTGTACAAAGTAATGTTCTTTTGCTTCAATTTGCTCTTTCTTTAGCTTTCATCTTATAAGTTAAATTTAAAAATTAGTCAACACACTGAATTAAGTATGTAGATTTTCATTTAAATAAATCAGTCAACAATTTTTTTATAAAGTATTTAACACTTCATTGTAGAAACATAGGCAAAATGACTATTATAACCAAAATGAAAAATACTGTTCAATTTAAAAAAATGTACTTAAACAAGAACCTGAAAAAGTTTATGATATGCATAACATTGTTCAAGCAAAATTGCACTAGTATTACATAAATCAAGAGTTTTATAAAGGCCCCAATATGGCAAAGTTTAGAAATAGGTAGTATGCATGCACAATAGTACAACAAAAATCTCTTATAAAACAGCAGTTATTTTTGTAATGCTTGTACAAAGGGAATAAAGAGCAACCACAAACATATTTAATCTGTTAGGTTAATATATTATGATAGCTAAAAGTCAGTCATGTCTAGCAGAGGAAGGAAGAGTCCTCCACAGTAAAATGTGTGAATACGTCGTTTGTGCCTTTAAAGTTATGTATAAAATATTCTGATTCAGTTCAAACCTGAAAGTAATCGCATTATTTATTTCCATGAAAATTAAAAAAGGTGAGTCGATTTTGCCTCTTAGCAACAACAGAAAACAGGCCAGGTCAGAAAAGTGCTGGAAACTGATACTGATGCTTTTCACTTTTGATACTGGACTTTGATATTGAACCCAGACTGCTGAAACTTGGGCTTTGCTAAGGTGTCACTAATGTACAGCTTGGTTCCTTTTACCTCCACAATACCACAGTTTATCTCAATTTTAGGAAACTGCTGTGTTTTGAATCCTTTAATATCACTGAACAGGTGTGAGGGGGGTTTTTTGTGATTGTCAAAACCGAATGCTGTGATCCATCTGCGTGTGCTTAAAGTTTGGGGTCTGGCTTTTTCCCTACTGCTCGCTGTGTGTTGGGGAGTTATCAATCCATAAGAACTGCGTGTGATTAAGTGAATAAACATGTAAAGCATGTGTAGGCAATGCCCTCTTGTGCTCTAGGGTGGCTACTGTCCTACAGGCCTGTTGGAGTTGGTATGCTTTGTCCCACAGCAAGTAAGGTTTCAGCTTCCAAGATATATCGTTACTATGTTCTATAAGGTTTTAATAAATACAAAGCTTGTTTACATGGTATATATGTTTAGTATATCATGTACAGTCACTGAATTTCTGAAACATAATCATTGTGTTCATGCAGATCATTAGATGTTTCACCTCTATAGTCTTGTTTACTTCTTGGCAGCCTAAAGCTAATTAAAAAGCAAGTTATGTTTGTTTGTGAAAAGTTATCTAGCTTCATCAGGATCTGAAGAGAAATTCTAATGGGCACAAAGAAGAGAGTAGACCATTCAATCATTCTTTCACCATTTAAAATAAACAAAATTACACACTGTACTACAGTTTCCAGACTACATAATGAAAAAGTGCAGATACCATCTTCATTGATTAAGTAGAACCAAAAAAGTTCATAGAAAATAGATTGCTCATTTTCACGCTACAAACGAATATGTTGTTTGCCATTTTAACAAATTTAAAGGTGTGTTATTTCAGCAGCATTGTTGTAAATTGTACCGTAGTGCAGTTTCTTTTTCATAAAAATACCTTACAAATGGTCAGTCAAAAGTCATCAGCAAAAGAAAAACCCAGAAAACAATCAACCAAACAAAAAACAGAGGTAATGCTGATGCCAAAACAATTATAATACTGTTGGTACATAGAAAAGTAATCCTTATATTTTATACATTTATACAGAGTATAAAAGGTAACAGCAGATTATGCCACAGTCTCCCTTATCCCAATATCTATTTTCTTTGGAAGAAGTTCTCTTCTTTCATCAACACTTGCTAAGGAGTTTCGACAGTTTTGTCCATCCACGTATAACTTTGCATATACTGGATTGGCGTAATTTGTTGGCTGCAGGGAAATTAAGCAAACATTAGATCAGTCAGGTTGAATCAAAATCAGCATTTATGGAAATGGAAATGGCTTGGTTAAAGCAAGAACAGGTACACATAAAATACAACAGGACATATTTAATAGATACCTGGACGTCTGCAAACCTGATGATGAGTTAATTATTTAGTTGAAAATTAAATTCACGATGAGACATGCTATTAAAGTAACCAAAGACATGACATGCAGCAGATAATGATATTAAAACCATAAAAACATCGACAAAAATTAAATGAAAAACCTTGAAAAAATGTCTCTGAGGTTGACTTGTCCACCTTATTACACTGGAAGATTTCAGAATAGATATGAAGGAGTTTATAGAGAAGGTGCACTGTGAGACCATGTGACAAGTTTAACAGTAGAAAACTGCAGCCAACAGTTTCCATATATTACCTGTTCTAAGACATCAGCATCCCATCAATAGCTGACCATGTTTTCGAATTCTGTGGCCCAAATACACAACATGATTTGACCAAAAAATTCAAGACTTTCGTCATGTAAATTAAACTTTATAATAAACCAGCATAACTGTTAATATATATCATAGTAGTTACAAATTGAGAAGTTTTTTTCTCAGCAATTTTGGTGGTTTGGACTGTAATGAAAAACATCTGTTGAAATGAGTGGCACTTCAGCATAGGACAAGTCCATTTTTAATGCTGCAAAGCACTTCATTGTGTGAGAAATCCCCTGAGTCTCCACAACCTTCATACTTTGTGCCTTTATTGTCTCTAGGAGAACTTTGCTATGAAATTAGAGTTGAGATTTTACCCATGATAACAGGAAAGGGCACCTTGTGGTCAAAACCCTCCTGTTTTTAGAACTAATTAATTTATCAGCACTGCTCTGCTTGCACAGATCCTGAGTGGAGCACCAACAAGCTCTAAAAAAGGGAAATTAATTTGTTTGATTTAATAAGAAGTGGCTAAACTTTGAATTGGCCAAGCAAGAACTGGTTAGGCTTTCCTACCATATTGAATAGGATATCAAAAATATCCTGAGTATATCCTGGGGAACAAGGAATGAAGAATGACTTTAGTCTTGGTTCTTCCTTTCCTTGTTGCTCAGCTTAGTTCCTGAGCCCAGGATTCAGATATTCCTGAGGCTGGATAGCTACACCAGCTGCTCAGTTATTGAGTTAAAAACTGCCCTTTCCATCTATTACAGATGAAAAAGTGATTGCCTCGTGGTCCAGACTTTCCTGGAAAGGAGGCAGAACAAGGTGAGCCACATTTATTTAATTCAAAAAAAAAAAAAAAAAAAGCTACTCTCAGTTCTACCTGTCCATCCCCATAGATCTTTACTTTTTTGGTCATAATTATAATCAGAAATTTAGTTCTGTTTCAATTGTCAGGACTTTTTTACATAATTGACAACCATTATTAAGGATGATAACTACAAGAGAGCAGAGACCCTTGGCATCTATGCAGTGCCTTATTGAGTTATTAAAATTTATATATAATAGTAGGGTCTGCCTCATGATACCTCTTTGAGTGGCACTGCCTGTACAAGAGAATACTGTGAGGTACACAAAGAAGCTGGAGTGACCAGAACTTAAGAGAAAAAGTTAAAAGATGAGTGAATATTCTGGCTTTCATCATCCATGGTTCTGTGCTCCATCAGAAAAAAACACACCCCATAAAAATTATTAAAATTCCAAATACAACGTATTACAGTCATGCAAGAACGTGAATGGCACAAAAGATGGATATATATTGAGGCACATGAAAATGAATGTCATATTGATGTCCCTTTGGTATCTTAAATCTCAATGTTTGCAACTTGTAGTAAAAAATCCAATGTTTAAGAAGGAGCTCTTTTATGATACAAATCCATTGAAATGGGAATAATTAAAATATGCTTTGCAAATATTGAAGGAAATTGTTAACTTTTATGAACATCAAATTCCTCTAAAATAAAAACACTTGTTTCCATTATTTGGAACCATCTTTCAGTTTGATAAACTTCACTAAATGCCTGTAATTACATGCAAATTGCAAATATATCAGGATACATGGCTGTGAAGGCCATGCTAAATTTATATAATATTATGGCAAAGCATCACATTTCTTACAGTTTTTCTTTCCTTCACAAAGACACATTTGCAGTTTTAGATCACGTTACAATGATGGGTACAGATGAAATTTTGTATGCACAGGGGGACCCTTTGTTTCAAATAGAAAATGTTCTATTTATTGTCATTCTTCATTCCATTAAAAGAAGAAAAACAAAAACAAACAGAAAATGCCTCTACTGGAAAATGACAGACAAACTTTCTTCAGAAGGGGACTATGGTGGAATGGAATGGACTTGGATCATCATTTCTCACCCCTGTTGATAGTGGTCCTTTCAAGTCAGAGTTTAGGTAGATTGATGGAGCTGTGTGGGGAAGCTTGAATGCAGTGGACCCTCCCCCTATGTATCTGGCCTGTGTAAACAGAAAATTTCAGTTTCTGTGCCAATAGAGCATTTTCCATGTGTACTTATCAGCACTGTTAAGTAAACAGTGCACCAACTAAAAACATTATTTTAGAGTCACCTGCATTTATAAAAACCTCCTTCCAGATAATCGCCAGCACGAAAAATTCTTACATTCAACACAAGAATAAAATTCAGCATTTCATGACCATTTTCCACTCAGGATTAGGGCCAGGCTTCACAATAAGCACTGGCTCAGCCACTCTGCCTCCAGTGAGTAACTCCATTTTCAGCTTACCTCGCGCACCGAGCACACTGCCCGTGTGATTCAGTGCTGACATTCCCAGAGCTATCAGTAATCCCGTTATTGCTTTGTCAGAAATGCCACAGAGTGATGGCTGCCCTTTGGTGTGTGTCTGATTACGGAGCTCGGCGAGAGATACCGCGGCATTACCCCGCTCATCCCGTGTCACATCACTCAGGGACTTCAATCACTGGAGTGCTGCTGCAGGACTGACAGCATCTCTTACAAGGAAATGATAATACTTACTAGCTTTGTGCAAACATTTAATCTATCTGTCCCGTCAGCAACCCCAGTTCCTTGTGCCTTGGGAAGTTTTCACGTGTGAAATAAGTTACTCTCATATGCATGTACTCTTTCCTGCTTCAGAGGCTGGACAATAATATATTTCCAATTTTAAATATTAGCCACTAGGCTAAAAGGACAGGTGGTTTACCAGCTCACAGACACTTCTGCCTTGACAAAAAGACCTCAGTTTTGTAGGTAATTTCTAACTCTATTTTGATAAAATACAGGCATTAGGAAAAATGACCATCAGGCAACATCAGACTACAAAACAGCTGTTAATATATACATGACATTTACTCTAATGAAATCTAACTTGGTTTTATATTCATTAACTAAATCTAAATGTCATTGTTCTACATTTCTATTCGTTACATTTAAAGACAAAACCTTTGCAAGACATAAAATAGGGTTGCCACTAGAAAGAGAAAAAAAAATTACCTTTTCTGCATTTAGAGTAAAATCTGAGGCTAAAAGACCACCTTCACTGTGGTCATGGCCCACCTCATACATGTTATATGATGGATTGCCAATTTCTACGTTGATTCCTCCATTTATCATGGGTTGTCTTCTGATAGTTTTTGTCCTGTAATGTGTAAACATACAAAAACAAACAAAAAAAACAAACAAAACACAAAAAAACACACACACAAAAAAAAGAAGATAGTGAACTTTCTAGCAAGTCATTGGGTATTTTATTTCTTTTTAATCTCTAAGATCAACAGGATGAAAAAACATTTCCTGCAGAGACGATCATAAAATCCTTCCATTTTTGAATCAAAGAAGTGATCTATGTATAGATCTCACAGAAGCTAGAAGCAGAATTTTATTGTTTTTCTCGGTTTGGCTGTAGTGGTATGAATCCATGCAAAGTGCTAACTCACTATCTACAACCCTGACTTCCTCCAATTATTTCCAGATTTCCCTCACTTCCAAGGAAAGCTTTGCAAAGTCATCGTGGATCCCCAGCAGGAGTGAGGACAGAGAGAACATGAGTCACATCCCCTTGCTCATTCATTCCATTTCTGTTTCAAAGCAGCTGCCCAAAGTCAGCTGTAAACTGAGGACAAGAAAATGGTTTCATCACGATGCATTAAAAATGTATGAACTTCTCATTGTTCCAGTTTGTATTCCCTGCCAGTGGTACCTGGACACTCAAGTTCAACCTGAATTTTCTTTCAATCTTGAATATAAGACAGAGCCTTAATTTTAACCTTGAATTAGGTATCAGTAAAGATAAGTGATTGAGCTGAATTTTTTCTGTTGCTGAATTCATTTCTTTTAGCTAAAGAGGTGATTTCAAGCCCGAGCAATTGAAATAACCTCAAGAGGGTAATTTTTTCCCAATGCAATATGTTCTCTAGAATTACAAGGGAATAACAGAGAGGTCACAGTCAGGATGATAACAGTCGAGTCCTCTTGTTGGCTGAGTTAGATGCAGTCAGTGTCTGAAATCCAATATACTAAATGATCTGTATTTTTCAGAAATGTCATTGAAAAAATATTTCCTAAAATAGGCACTTAACAGTGGCATGCTAGTGTTGAACAACTACACCTAGCTTAATATTTGACAGTCTTCTCTGAAGAGATAAAATAACTTTAAAATATGTTTTCAAACATCATTTTAAAAAGAAAACCCTTTATTGAGGCTAGTTCTATTTCTCTACTGAAAATCTATTATTTAACGAGTGATTCTCAGTAACCTAAATAATTTACAGAGCAGCAACTGCTTTCAGCATTTGGCTATCACTAAACTTGGTGTTTTAGGTGCAGCAGCACATAATGACATCCATGGAGTCTGGCAGGGTCAGCATAACTAACAGTATGGCCAGGAAATGTATTTATCTTATGGGATTTACAAAAAGGCTTTAAAAATTGATGCTCACTAGTTTACACCAGAGTTTGCAGCGGGGAGAGATACTGCATGTGATGCCAGATCATAGTAGCTTAAACAATTCTTTTAGCCTGGAGCACTAAAATATTCTCATAAATGGCCATGTTTGCAGAAACAGCAGATTCATCACTTATTTCTTAAGGACTTAACAAAGAGACATTATCCTGTTTTCAGATGTGGGGTAACAAGCCCCAGGAGAAAATCAGCCAGCTGCTCAAGGCCAGCAAGCAGGACAGCTACAGGCCTGAAGTAAATGGTTTGCTCTCTGATTCCCACTCTGCCTTCCCCAGTGGGCCATGTCCTTATCACCAGGAATGTTCTCTTGCTAAATCTGCACCACCATCAACATGATGTTCTTTGAGCATGTGAAGGGTTGCAGCTCTCTCTGGTGTCTCACCCAGCAGAAGCACTCCTGCCTCCCCTGGCCTTGGGAGAAGTGCCCAAAGTCAAGAAGTCAAACACAAGTCCTCAAGCTCATTACCAGCTCTAAGGCAGCTGAATTCAAGAGAAATATTCAAGAAAATATTCCCTGCTGGGTGCTGGAATTTGGCTTCCTGTGCAAGATACTACAGGAACACAGTAAGGAGGAAAAGGCTGGGACTCTACTGTAAATATTTTGAGTATTGTTTATATCTTCAGTAAAACTTGAAGAGGTAAACAATACTCAAAATTTGAGTATGTGGTTTCAATGAAACACATTAATTATGTTCTCTAAGTCTCTGGATAAAGTTATTAACACTTACACAGCCTTGTCAGGATTGGGAAAAGTGGGTATGAACTACAATTTTTTATCTATTCCATGAGGAACATAAGTATCAATAACAGATGTGGTTGTTCCAGTAAGAACAAAAATGTAACTGATTCACTGCCTCCAGATACAAGTCATGGGTCATTTGTTGCATTTGTGTTTCTCACATAAAGTGATTCTTTGTATATTGGAAAGATGCAAATACTTTAAAGTTGTTTTGTTGGGTTTTTTTTACTTCATAAATCAATGTAAAATTACTTACCTTCGTTTTCTTTTGCAAAGAAATAGTCCAATTACAAGAGTAGTGATCAAAGTCACCAGTAAAACAAGAGGAACAATGATTGCTATGCTTCCTAAAACAGAAGGAAATAGCATTGAATAATCCTGGCTTCACAGCTGTAAAACAGTTAAATTAATTAAAAGACTGTAATTTCCCACACCAACAGTGCAGTTTCAGGTGATGAGCTTCACTCATCAATTTGAGATTTTAATGCTGATCAATGAAAAGCCACCTTCATTACAGAGAATAGTGTACACAGAAGTACTTTTATAAACAAATCAGGGGTTTCCTCTTTTTGGATACCAATATTCTTTGGGCTAATTCACTGCCCTCATTTCCAGCAGTAGTCCAGGAAAGTCTGGAACTGCTGAACAATTTGGACTGGAGAGGCACGGCCACTGACTGCCACCAGGATCTTCAGCAGTTTGTCACAAAATTATTAATTTAAAATATCCAGTAGGCTTGGCTCTGGTTGAAGAATTCATTAGTATTTAGAGGTTATTATCTTTATTTGTGAGAACATAAGAAAACAGCGAGCAGTGTTCATTCTAGATGGTTGGTACATTCCTGCATTTTGCTGCATTTTACTACATGAGAGCCAGCAATTTTGTTATGTTGATATAGGCAATCACAAAAACTACAATAATGCTTAATGCAGCAGAAAAAGAGTGCACAGATCAGACAGTGATGTTAAAGGAGAGGAGGGAACAGGGAAGAACAAAATGGGCTTCACATTATTTTGGCAGATAATTTCACTGAAATGAGTCTATCTGCAAAAATAAGGTCAGCAACTGTATCCTTCTTTCTGAGCCTTACTTTAAGTACTTGCTTGTAAAGAAATACATGCAACAAATAATTTTATTTTATAAATACAGGACTTATAAAAGCAGGAGTCCAGCATAAAGCCAGTGTGGAGTGGCATGTATTTTCTTTAATATCACAATCCTTAACTGGTGGAAAACAAAAATATTGCCGGTTGTTTCACTGGCAACATGTATTGATTTATTAAAAAAAAAAATAAGCTGCTGGCAGTGTCTGCTCTACATTAAGCACAGTCTAAATAAAGAATTGAAAAATGCTTTGAATTCTGCCTGAAGGCTTTCTGCCTGAAAGCCAAGTCAGGTTGTCAGAGACACGAAATGAAGTACTGAATAAAAACTTGAAGCATCCTCGAAGCATTCACTTCAGTTTATGAAGATTCAGGCAGGAGTTGCCATTTGGTGGCCACGGTGCAGCCTGGGGTCCAGGAGAAGCCCATTCCCCAAACCACAGTGGTTATACCCTCACAATGAAGCAGTGATCCCAGTTCTGCCTGCTTTTTTGCCCATTTCCAGCTCGTGAGTGCTCTTTCACTTGTGGGGATTGCTGGGAAGGTTTTATCTAAGCACCAAGCTGACCTGAATAGCTCATTGGGCTGCCCCAGTTGGGCTAACTGTGACCAAGGCAGGTACAGCAGGGCACCAGCAGCACTCTCAGCACTCTGCAGGGAACCTTGTCCAGTTTAAGCTGCCAATAGTGCAGCACTGCCATCCTTTTATGCTTACAGACATGTTTAAAAATATTCAGCAGGAGCTATTCTTACTTTCAGGCCGATTTTCACAGTAGGTAAAATTCACCCCTGTGCAGACAGCCAATACAAAAGTTATGTGCTACTTACAGCTCTATTTTTGATGCTTTCAGTAGGATTTAAATGGTCAGAGGTCTCCCACCAGTTCCCTGCATAGGGCTGATATGGCCAAATGCTTGTTACCTGATATGCTTTCCTTAAGAAAAGTGCAGCTAGCCCTCGGAGCAAGAACTGCATCCAAACTGCCTCATGCAACACCAAATGGCAATCAAAAAGCAGAGAAATACCTATATTTTGTTTGTTTAAAGAAAAATAAGTAATGAGCATTTTTCACGACACAAAGTCACATTTCAAAATAGCTCAAGGCTTAGATTTCTAAAGTGAGGCAAATTTGACAAGTGACAGCAGTTACTGGAAGTACTTACTGGTACTGATGTTGTCAGACTTGCTGCTTTTGGGAGCTGGCCTCTCACACTGTGTGCCTGACCAGTTGGCTGAACATCTGAAAGGATCCAATTGCAATGGAAAAGTTAATAAATGTCAGCTATTAACGCAGTTACCCATGAAAGAGAGCACCAGCATCTTCTCAAGAGCTACATGAATGACAACAGTGCTACAAAACCGACAAGAAGCCTCATGGAAGGAGCCAGCAGGACTCTGCCACGGTGTGACAACATTCAGAGTAGGGATTTAGTTTAAAACTACGCCTTTGTATATTTGATTCCTGTTGTTATTACTGTGACCTTAATTCCAGAGTTCTTTTTTAATTTCTCAAATGATTAAACAAGTTTCATCAAAGGTATATTAGCATTTTAGCTTTCTAAATGTTGAACTTTATAGCCAGGTATTTATTTGCAGGACTATATCCATGTGTGGGTGCATAAGCAGGCATGACAGTCAAAGAATAAAGAATTATCCTAAAGGGACAGGAGCACCTCCTGACCTCAGAAAGCCCTAAATACTGTTTATATTCAGAATATATCTTCCAGGAGCCAGGTGCCTGGATTACACACAGCTATTCTGCTATAATTTCCTTGTGTGAATATCAGTATGCAAATAGCTCTTCAGCTGGGGTTCAGAACACTCTCCATGCTTACGAGGAAACACAAGGAGTCCATGGAAGCAGACTCAGCAAATCCATCAAAAACAGAAGCAAATACCTGAATGAAATTCAATTGCTTATTCAACCTGCTGTAAATATGATTAAGTTTACTACAGACCCTCAAACTCTCCTTGTGGAAACGGCAGGAAGTAGTCGCTTTTCATCTGTCTCTGTTGCATATTGTGCAATGAATCATGTTTTTTCTATGTATTTTTGAATTATTTATGAATTTCAACATCAGTTATCTTTAGGGAGGTGCAATAGAGCGTTACCCTCACAAAGTTCCAGGAACTACTGCTATCTGATGCCTTCCTAAGGATTTAATAAATTGCAAAATTTAGAGGTGGTTGTGCTTAACAATTGATACTGTTCTATAATAAAAGAAGTTTTGGAAAGATACCAAATATTCCAGACAAAAACAATGCCACAATGTCAGAGAAGAGCCCTAGGCAGCTTTGCTCTTTTGAGCTTTTGGGCTCTCTCTTGTCTTTGCAGATCCCTGCAGAAGACTGGCTCGTTTCTCTGATTGCTCCTAAGCCTATACCAGCCCAACCTGACATTCAGATAAATCACTTTACTGGCTTCCATATTAAGCTTGAACTTCTTTTGGGGAGTTAATTTAATTTTTAGTAGGATACACTATAAAAGTGCTTAAGCTCTTCAGAGGGAAGGCACAGAGGGTCTTTAGAAAAGAATTAATTTTTTTATATATATTGATTACAATTGCTAGTTTATTCATAAATTGTCACACACTAGCCAAATTGCACTGTGATTTAGAAGTTCTTCATTATTTATTGAATTAAGTTTGTTTACTTAAATAAATATGGTAAATACACACTTAGGTTTCCTCACTGCAAAGACCCCTAAGTAGGGTATCTAAGTAGGTACATAGAAACCAAATTCCTAATTATACACATGCTTCACAATGATATATTTAATAACTGAACCCAGCTGACTTTTCCACCTGCTTACCATCACTTCAACACACTGTAAGTCACAGGGAACACAACTTTAATCTTTCAAAAGATGCACCTGTTCCTTTTTCTTTCCAGATCTCTTTTTAGCAATTATGTATGATACAAATGCTTGCACTGACAGCTTACTTTACTAAGATACTGTTCAAGGAATTTGCTTTTTAAAAATATCAATTTTCAACGTACAGCTGCAAAATAAGTATCTCCATTTTTGTAGAGAAACACCATATATCTTTATACTTAGAATATTCTACTCAGCTCCAAGCTGTTGGCACGTGATAAACACAAAACAAAGTCTTTATATTTCTGACTGATATTTTGCATCATTCCTGCTCAGGATTCAACTCACCTAATTAAAACTTGTGATGACAGGCAATTTGCATTTAATACTACACTACTGAAAGGGAAAAATATTTTAGACATATCTAACTTTGCAACTAAATTATATTAAATGTTTCAAATGCTTCCACTGTATATAAAATCATTATGATAAATCTGTCATAAAAACAGTTTAAAGAACATAAGAGAGTGAGTCTAGCAAAAGAATCACCATGAAGCATTCAAGTATAGGCTCATGAGAAAATTGTATAATGTACAATTACATTTTTCAAAATCTTAAAGCAGACATGATATCACAACAGCTGGTGAAGAGAAAAAATCTACAGCTATATATACAATAAAGAGAAGAAAAAAAGGCAAAAATATTAAAAGCTCTTTACCTATCTTGCCACTCTAATTGAAAAAATCAGCAATATTGCAACATCTGAAGCATCTGATGGAAGTCTCATAAAAACATTGTTAGTTGCCACTATACTTTAATTTTTTTCCAAATGCTTGCTTTCTCCAATAAACTTAAAAGCGAATGAAGCTGGAAGGGTGGAAGTGATTTCCTTCTGCACTTTGAGGTGAAATGATTGCTCTTTGATGGTCCAGCAAGGTACTAAAGGCTTGTCTTGGGCGGACAGAGGAGAAAAAGAAATAAAGCCCAGGGGAAAGGGATGTTTTCTGCAAGGGAATTTGATACAAATCAGCCATGAGCAGGCACATGAATAATGATGGGGTTGGGACATGGACAGTTGTTCATGCAGGAACATGGGAAATGAGCAGATCTTAAGCAGTTTTAATTGTCTGCAGAGAGAAATTGTTTTTAATAACAGTATTTTCTGGTGTCAGGACATTTAAATCCAGAGTGCTCAGTTCCTAGCATGGGAACTGGCTCCTGGTTCAGTTTGATGCACAGTAGTTTGTCCTTTCCCAAACTCTTTGGTAGCAGGAGCTGTTCTGTGCTGTTTTCAGGGTCAGACAGGACATTTGCAGCAAGAGCAAACAAAAGGGCATTAACCAAGCAGAGCCACATAAAACCAGTTGGTTTCATCAAAGATGCTCATCACAAACTCGGGAGAAAGAACAGTGGAAATGCCTAATTTGAGTCACTCCCAGACAAATACAGATGGAAACAGATGGGGAAGCTGACAGTGAAGGACAGGCTGAAGTCAGCTGCGTGGTGCAAGGTGCTACAGAGAACATCTCAGGTGCAAATCTCCAGCTCCCAGCAGAACCAGAGGAAGATCAAAGAGCAGCAGTGCCACAGGGGATGCCAATATGAAAACTGAGAGTGAACATAATAAATAAAGGTTGTGCATGTTCTGCTGCCAAGGTCATTAATAAAACAGCTACAGCTCTCTCTGTAACAATTTAGTTCTACATTTACAGAGATGAGTGCTTGGGAAGTGCCTTCTGAGGTACTGAGTGCCTGTGCCACTGGAATTGCCTCTTTTGAGGAAATAGCACTGCAAGGAGAGACGTTTTAAAAACTTCCCGTTGAGATTATGAAGGTGTTGCACTTGGAGTGAGGAATGTTTAAAATGAAGATATTTACATTTCTGAGACTGATCAGGCTGTTGTTACAGAGTCTATTCGTGACAGGAAATTTCTCACTCCTCAATTTCTGCATAACCCTTACAGGTTGCTGTGATCAATATTCTAAACTCTGTTATACGGGTATGTGACCATTTGACTATGAAATGACTGAATAAATAGAAAAAAAAAAAAGTAAAAAAGAGATAATTTGGTAGCAGTGTACAAATTTCTTAAATATTTTGTTTCTCTTTTTTCTTCCTCTTTCTGCCCAAAGCATTGTCATAAGAATATAATACAGAAGGCACAACATGCAGTTAAAACTGCTTTTGTAGACAGCTGTTTTCCAACTCAATGTACCAGTGCAGATCCAAAAATGACAACAGCTTTGAATGATTAGTCTAGAAGTGTAACAGACTCTGTGGAAGAGTCCTTACAAAACAGAGGTGGAAGGGGAACCAAAAATGTTTCTTAGCTATAAATTATATTTCTTCATTAGAAAAAGTTATTTTCTAACTTTTCCTTTTGGTCACAACATGTATACTGAAATATCCTAATGGGAGTATCTAGCCTCACTATTTTAAGAACACTTAATATTAAAAAATTCACTGGAACTTGTCTTATCATTAATATTAAAACTGTAAGACAAGAGAACATCTGGATTACAGTTACTTACTATCTACATTAAATTGCATTGAAAGAGAGAAATCAAAATTCTCCTTTTCCCCAAAACTCTGTAGGATGACAGAGGATGACAAAAACCTTGCACTAAACCAAATCATTAAACTGTTCCTTATAATAAATTTAGGAATACTTTTGCAGATATGCTTTGATCATACAGGGAGTTGAGGTAGCAGAGTTAAACAAGTTTATCAGTATAAACCCTCTAAAGTAAAGCACTTTCCAAACAAAGAATGACCAAAAATCTCAACAAAGGACTGATCAATAACTGCACATTCTGTAGCTCCCCCTCTATTGTTAGGGTTTCATTATTTTCAAGTAATAACTTTTCCATAATTATTTTATACATGAACAGACCACATTTTAGTAGATTTGTCTAATGAGCATCCCTCAACATCTTACAAGGAAAATAATGTAGATGCTAAGGGATTTAGCATCTACATTATATGTATATATACATTATATGTATTTATACTTGTTACCTGAAAATGAAATACAAATTACCTTGCAGTACAATACATTCAGAATAGGATAATTACATCATTCAAAAGCAGGCAAAACAATACAAAAATTACTTTTCAGGAACACCAAAAAAACCCTGAAATTTAGTCACAATTTAAGTAGAAAAAAAAAAAAGTGACTTTAAAAATTAATTTTAATTTGGGCATGAGATTACTATGTACAAATCATTATTCACAATTGCTGCATGATGTTCACTGTAAAGGAACAACTTCCAAGTGCAACTCAGCCTCATTGATCCAAAGGTTAGAAAATGAAGAAACTGAGAGTCATTAACCACCATGCAATTAGCAATATGTGTACAGAGGCTGTACAAATAGTAAAAATAATAACAGAAAATGTATAAAAAGCATGTCCAGGTGATTACTA